TTTATTTGCTTCTTAACAAAGTATTTATAATTAACTTGTGAGCTATAAATACATTTTTGGTCTTTATCCAAAGCATGATTACAAATAAACAGGATCTTAAAACAGGATACAAGATAAAAAGCCAGATTATGTTCTAAATATGTTACAAACTCTATAATTAACCAAATGTCCTTCCAAATTACATTCCACCTTTTTAATGATGTTCCGTTCCTTATTTATTGTTTCCTCCTTATCACCAAGTTCCTTTTTCTTTGTACACAACTTTTCTGCAAGTCATAAATCAGCTTAATTATTGGATTTTGCCAAACCCTTATCTACCATGTTGCAACATCGTTCAGTCATTTTTACTTAATTGCAGAAAATCCCACACAGTGGCAGCTTTTAAAAGTCCCTGGTAAACGTGGGGTAGGGTTGTGTGAGCTAGTGGCCCTTTTGTTTGTGACTACGGCTCCTGCCTCATGGCTTCTTTTTCTGGTCTCCTTCTCCTGTTGTGTTTGGGGTTTAAAACATTGTCTGCTTGGGTGGGCGTGGGGTGGAACACAGACAAAACAATATCACTGGTGTTAAGTGACTCTAGCAGCCCTGTCAACTAGCCTAATAGTTTTTCTTATCTAGTAGGCATGTTACAGTTTTCCTGTTTTGGGAGACTGATTCATGCCACTTATACCTAGACTAGAAAACAAAATGGTTATCTGGTGTTTTTTGAGGGAGAGGAGATCCAAAAATAATGAAAATCAACTAAAATTCTACTTGCTGTTTTTAGGAACAGTTCATGCGTGATGAAGTCGTTGCAGAACCTTTGACAAACAAGGAATTGATTAAGTGCTGATGAATACATCGTGAACTGTTGCTGCTTTAGAATAAGAAAATAGGGGATGGCAAGTGCGGAAAGAGACGTGGTCCTCCTCCTGGAAGTGCTCGCTGCTGTGAGATACAAGTGCAATAACTGGCTGTCTTTATAATTTGAATGAGAACTTGCTGGGACATCACCATGTGAATGGGCTTTGTTCAAAAGGGTTATACACTTTAAAAATTATGTAAGTTGTCATATGTATTCCAGAAGACTCGAGGAGTATGATCCTAATTGGCAGGAAGTCGATATACAGAAGAAGTGTGCAGAGTTGTGAAATTAAAACGTTTATCTAGCGATTGCTTCTTAGCCTATGGAGAAAAGCAGGCGATGTGTGGGTGTATATCAGTGTGAAATGGCATTGGGAGCTGAAATGTTGGGAGACAAAACTGGGAAGTCCGTATGACCTGATGCCATTCAGAATTACAGCTTTGACACAGTGTGGTATCACCTGGCATGTGGGCTCACGTAATTCCTGCCCGTCCTGAATATGGGGAAAAAGAAGAGACCCAGAACCAATGCTGCTGGTAAATTGTTTTTACTGCTGTAAGCACAAAGAAGGTGCAGTTGTATTTATACCTGCAGCAGGTGCAACACATAAGTTGGGGCAAATTTGTTTCTTAAATTGCAGTTGCTTTGAAACAGCTTTGGTAGCTGTTATCACATGACTCTCTGACATAATGACGATGTACTTTTGTGGGTGTTGCGTGAAATGAAACAAAAGGAGTCAAACTTTTTTTACCCCTGCAAAGCTAGCAATGTGCAAACGGACCTCAACTTAAAGTGGATTGTAGTTTACCCATATTTTCTCAACAACTTTGTGATTTGACTGTTGCAGCAAATATAAAATGGGCTGCAGTTCTTTGTGCCATTTGTAGTAGTACATTTGCTGAATTTCTCAGTCTTCCTTTGTTAGGTTCTGTCACTTCCTGGATAGGAGATGCACACATTTCGCTTAATAAAGAGGAATTTTTTTAGGGTAGAAAAGAGTTGAAAGACTATACTCCAAAGTCCCTTGATTCCAAGACTACTTGTTGTATTACAAGCCACTGCATTTAAATATTTATTTAAAATTATGGTCTTTCATGTGTTTTAGTAGGATTTGACATCTGTGAAGTTAAATTCAGGGAAAAATACTTGTGCAGCATTTATAAAGTTGTTTTGCTCCAGGCACTAGAGATAAGGAAGTCTTACTGAATTCTTGCGTTTAACTATTTTTGTTCTTAACAACGTTCTGTGAACGTTGAAGATGAACATTCTAATTATTTAAAAAAAAAAAAAAAAGGAAAAAACTACACCCTTCAGTTTGGAATGGAAGATGCACAACCCAAAGTGTTTTCCTGCCTAAACCAGAAGGTGGCACTCATGTTACTTCGATAATCTGTGCTTCAAAAAAAATGCTGCAGTACTTTGGTTAGCTGTATCTTACCAAA